AATGGGACATCATACTCTGTAGTTACCAGGGCTTCAGCCAAACTAGGCAAACAGGAGAAGGTGATGGACTCACGCATACCGGTCCTGAAGACCAGGGCTAATATTCCCAGCTCGTACAGATTACCCATGTCGCCACAGTCCTACAGTGAAGCTGTGCAAAGTCAGCCAAGTGGATGTGGCTCCACCCCTGTTAACACGACTAGGTTAACAGATCCGAGTGGGAAAATTGCACTAAGTGAGAACTTCATAACACCCATCCCCATGGTAGACCATGAAACAAATAGGAAGGCCAAAAAGAAACGTTCACGACGTCGCAAGACGACAAGAACGCTCCCCAAGAAGACAGACGACTGCAAGGTCTGTGCTTCTGTTGTCGAACAAGCAGACTCTGCTTTCGAATGTAACTTTTGCAACCGATGGGTGCATTGCAGATGCGACAGTGGGGTACCAAAAGCATATTATGACTTTATGCGTAAAAACCCATGCCAATGGTTCTGGTACATATGCCCGAGTTGCCGTCCTGATGTAGCCTCGCGTAGTCCTTTGAAAACTAAAGATGGCACAGAAGTAGCGGGGAAAAAGGTGAAAAGCTCGACCCCCACCAATCCGGAAGTTAGTACAAACGCGCGTAAACCGGGGATACCAAAATCCTCACCGGTTAAACTTGTAACTCTTGCCATAACCGCTCCAGACACAGAGGCTGGAGAACCACGGGTTTCCGTCGTTGGAAAAAGACCCCAACCGTCTATCAGTAATGCTGGCTATAGCACTGAGACACATAAAAATACCCAGTCGCACCAGTCAAACCAAAACGGTCTTAAAGGTGATCACAAACGTGCGAGGACCGAGCCCAAGCCCACGGTTAGCAGATCAAATTGTGTAATCCTCTTTAATGTACCAGACTGTAGCAGTAGTCTGCTGAAAGATAGGGCCCTATTTGATCAGGAACAGTGGTCCATCTTGAGTAGCACACTGGGTTTGGACATCCAACCAGTAAATCTATGCAGATTGTATAGGGGCACTGCTGCACCTGAAGGCAAACCATCCCCACTGAGGGTAACATTGGGCTCTACCGAGGATGTTGAAAAAGTGTTACTGGCTTCTCAAGTCCTTTCTATAGGGAGGGCCTGTAACATACGTGTTAAGCCAGACAGGCCGTGGAAGGAAAGACAAATGGCGAGGGAGTCGCCAGAGCTCATTCCTTCTGCCTCCATGGTTGTGCATGGCATTCCCGAACTGGTAACTGGGAACGCCTGCGAAAAGCATTGTCATGATGTACAACAATGGAGATGGTTAGCATCCCAGATGGCCCTGGGAAGTTCAGGGGCTGTCTCTATTTATAGACTGCCTCGACCCACTCATCTTATGTCAATTAACTCGCCACGTCTGTTAGCTGTCAAGTTCAGCTCCCAAGACCAGTTGAATACCGCTCTCCATAGATGGTACGAGACCAAGGACAAGGTCAGCAAACACATTCGCTGCTGCGAGAGCCGGCCTCGCACTCAAAGGAGAGAACAAAGCGTAGTAAAAAAAATCCTCAACCCCTAGTCACACTACAGCGGTGCAGCACGGACGATGATAGCCAGTGTCATCCGAGTGCTCCAACTGAACTAGAAGAAAAAAACGCCAACAGGCCGGTTCCTGGGGAATCGGCCAACTAGTTCGTAGGATAACTCCTCAACCGATAGCCAATATCAAGTCAACTACCCCCCAATACGGGGAAGTGGTGAGACTGACTACCAGTTGCCTGTATAGTAATGTGAGAGGGCTAAGAGGCAAAATAGCTGAACTTAGACACCTACAATCACAACTAAACTCCAAAATCATAATACTGACGGAAACCTGGCTAACCCCTACGGTGGCAGACAGCGAAGTCAGTATAAATGATATGGTCCTAGTCAGGCGAGATAGGGACCTGAAAGAAGGAGGTGGAGTCGCCATATACGTCGACAAACAGCTCAGATGTGTTCACGCGATGGACCCTCCCCTCACAGAGCTCCCTGACTCCATATGGTGCCACTTCACCGTTGGGTACTGCAAATATCTAGTGGGCAGCATTTATCGATCACCTTCATGTGGAGCAGACCACAACCAGGTACTGCTAAATACAATCTCAGCAACTCAAGACATGGGTTATGATCAAATTGTCATAGCTGGTGACTTCAATGCCCCATCTCTTAACTTGGTGTCGGGAAAAGCCCATGATAGATTTGATCGAAATCTGCTGCATACCATCAGGAAGGCTGGATTCACTGAAAATGTCAAGATGGATACTAGATGGGGCCCTGATGGGAAGTCTTCTAGACTGGATTACGTGCTCACTAGTGACCAGCTACTAGTGGAAAACGTTCAGATCACGACTCCCATAGGTAGTAGTGACCACGCGGTCATAGTATTCGACATAGTCCTCCGCGAGCGCTTACAGTGGGACAATACACAGCCCTATCTGTGTTATAACAAAGCCAACTACACCAAAATGCGAAGACTTCTGTCTGAAGCAAACTGGCCTAAAAAATGGACAGAGCTAACAGTAGAAGAACACTGGAGAGTGGTAAAGGAGATCATTCACCAGGCGGTCTCAGACACTGTTCCTTTAGTCTCACCAAAAGCTAGGAAGCAACGATCATGGCTGAAAAGGGGGACACAACGCCTTCTGCAGGCAAAGCGAAAAGCCTGGTTCGCGTGGCGACGATCGAAGAGTCAACCCGAATATGAAGTGTACCTTGAACTCAGGAATCGATGTAACATACGAGTCCGGAGCGATAGAAGGACATTTCAGGGAGACCTCGCCAATAAGCTTCTCGTGAACCCCAAAAGCCTATACAGGTTTATGGCCGAAAGAAAACCGACCAACCAGGGAGCATGCAATCTAGTGGGTTCTGATGGGAAATCTCTTACTAGTCTTGAAATGGCAGAGACATTCAGCCTAGCCTTTCACAGGCAACTAAATAGTAACGAGGATATTACCCCTACAGAACATCCAGATTACATCGCAAAACCAACACACGAAAACCTGCTGGGGACATTTCAAATTACCCCGGCTATGGTACTTGCAAAATTGGGAAGGTTGGCTTCGGGAAAGTCTCCAGGTTGTGATGGCATCAGACCATCTGTCCTGAAGCAGTGTTCAGAAAGTCTCTGTCAACCCCTAAGTGATCTGTTCCAACACTCCCTTGATGTAGGGAAACTTCCATGTGAATGGAAACGTGCAATCCTATCCCCTATCTTCAAGGGTGGTGACCGGCAGAATGTGACCAGTTACAGACCAGTTGCTCTACTTCCAGTGGTATCGAAGATATTGGAAAGTCTCATTGACGACCACATGAGAAAATACTTCGATGGGACTAACCTTCTTCACGAAGCACAGCACGGTTTCAGGAGGGGAAGATCCTGCGTGACGAATCTTCTACTAGCCTGGAACGATTGGACACTATCCTGGGACAAAAAGGTACCAGCCCACGTGATCTTTCTCGACTTTGCGAAAGCATTCGACACAGTTCACCATGGTCTGCTCCTTCACAAAATAGGCAAGGCGGGAGTTTCTGGAGCACTTCTCGCATGGCTGACAGATTACTTAGGCGAGAGAGAATTCTGCACCAAAGTCAACCGCATCCGATCATCCTGGCACACCTCGGCATCAGGGGTTCCTCAGGGTTCTATCCTAGGGCCGTTGATGTTTTTGATTTTTATCAATGACCTGCCCCCCAACTAAACTGCTCTGCGCTTCTTTACGCTGACGACGTAAAGATTTGGAGAGCAATAAACTCATCGGAAGACTCAGATAGATTGCAGGCTGACCTGCAAACTCTGGGAAATTGGGCTTTGGCTAACGGAATGCCTTTCAATCTAAAGAAGTGCAAAGTAGTGCAGCTTCATTCCGGCAGGTCACAGAGTGTAAATTACACCCTTGGTGGCCAGAACTTGAGTTGTGTTCCATCAGAGCGTGATCTAGGTCTTATTCTAACAGAAAAGCTAGACACCAGTGGAAATTACTCGAGGGACGTCGCCAAAGCCTACGCAACATTACACTTTATGCACAGGCAGCTGGGAGCTCTCACTCCCGAACTGTTCTTAAGGCTATACAAGGCATATGTGAGGCCACACCTTGAGGTGCATAATATCATTGCACCTCCGCTACTCAAAAGGGATGCTAACATTCTAGAAAGTGTCCAGAGACGAGCGACAAAATGGGTGATCGGCCTCCGCAACAAATCATATGAGGAAAGACTAAAGAAATTAGGTCTTTTCACACTTAGTTACCGTAGGCACAGGGGAGACCTCATCACCGTCTACAAGATCCTAAATGACCAGGCCCACCCAAATAAAAGCATCCTGCCATTAAGCGATTATAGGCTTCCACGAGGTAACCCGCTAAGGATAGCACACCAGAGACCAAAGACTCGAGTGCGATCACATTTCTTTTCGCTTCGTGTTTGCCGTCTCTGGAACGCTTTACCGGCGGCCGTGACTACAGCGCCATCTCTGGAGATTTTTAAGCGGAAGCTAGACAATCATGCAGAAATGCAAGGTTTGTGTCTCAATGGCTTATCCTCATAAAATTTGAAACCACACTGTCAATGATAAGCGTACAAACTAAATCCCCACGACCTATTCTGCCTTCTCTCACTCTATCTTTTCCTTAGGTCACCTTTATTATTCCACTTATCTCAACCTATATTATCTACACTACAACCTATTATTATTATTACTATTCTGCTTTTATGACTACACCGAATGACCAAGGGGAGTTAGGTCAAACTCCATTCACGGCAGCAATACAGTCCTAACATACTGCATACTACAAACCACATCTCGACCAATCCCCGCACCACTCCTCCTGGAGTCTACCAGAGCTAAAGCAGTCGAGTGTCGGGACTTACTACGCAGAAGCTCACCGAAGATCTGGAACCTCTACCTCACAATCAAGAAGCGAGCTCAAAGAAATCACTGGTTTATACTAGCTCGTAATCAGGATATTGGATATTGAAGATCAGGAACCTATACCTTACAATCAAGAAGCGAGCACTAAGAAATCAAATTGATTTATACTATCTCGTAAAACCGACAATGGATATTGGATATTGGCGGTGAATTCGGGCTCAAGGTGAGGTTCTTCTTGTAAAATGTCATTACGGGTTTGTGGAGTAGTAGTAAGCCTGTTTATCCCTAGTACCACATAAAATCGGGACTTTAATTAGAGATTTTACCACTTATATAATAGTTTTGACTAAGATATCTTCAATGATGAGGAAGATACAGGATATATCCTGTCCAGTACTCGCTGGTTTTCAATGGTTCTCTAACTGATATCAATACGTGATCAACTCGTATAAACAAAACTAACCCTTACGAACCAAGCTAGAGAAAGTTCATAGTATTTATCGGTATGTGTATATATTCACAATTCACGTGGTCTTCAATATATATATATAACATATATATATATATATATATATAATATATATATATAATGAAGACCACGTGAATTTCTATAGAACAAGTTCTTATTGTAATAAGAACTTATTGTTCCGTGGACTTTTGAAAAATAACAAATTCTGACTTCCCAAGCGTGCTGTATCGCTACGAAAACTGACGTCTATGTAGGTATTCAGACTTGTTAACGTTCGAACGCCCAATCGGGTGCCCTAACTACGAGGAAATTCAATGTAACTTTAATTGGTGGTACTTTGAAAGAAGATTTCAAAATTCATGGCATAGCATTTGTCAAGATTTTCGCTAAGGTAACCAAATCTGTTTTTACTGAAACCAGTTGTGCAGAATGCATTTAACGAAGCATACTATATTAAGATATGTGACTTTCTTTTCTTAGTGATTAAAAATAATTCAGTCAAGCTTTGATTTATTCCATTGTTAGGAACTGAGTACAAAATAACTGAGGGTTATGGATCCAAGTAATGGGCGATTTAAGTGTAAACAGCTTCTGATGACTAATATAGAGCTCAAAATGAGTAGTCGACTCCTCAGTTTGTCTTAATAGTGCCGCGGGTAAAATGATGTTATATTGTGTAGTGGGTCGAATTGAAAAGAAGGCGTCAGTTCAAGACCCGGTGGTCGCTGAACAGTTATAGCCTAGCTCTTTTGTCGTACATAACTTTAACTCTTATTGAGACGGTTGGTAATAATAGTATTTCGACCCGAGTCTGTGTTCTGATTTTCACGTCTTACCCCAGCGTGCTTGACATATTGTTGACTGTGCTGTTCCATTACAATTTACCTAATCCACACAGGTAGCTTTTTTTTCTATACATCTTTCATTTGAGTCTAACCAACCTACTCTCCCTCCCACACAACTTTTCCATGTGTAATTTTTTGTATCTTCGAATTCACTTATGGCCTTTGTTCTAATAATGGGTCTAAGTTGTTACGTTCTTTGAAGTAGGGTATTGTTGAATGCCAACTCTACGACTATGGTTGAAATAAAGGTCTCTAATAAGGACCGTTTGTAATAATATCAAATTATAATATATTGCACAGCACAGCTCAAGAGACATGAAGGGTTTAGTCCTACAGAGACGTAATATCGCAGTAAAAGTTTTTGAGTAACCAGAAAAACCATATGGGATATAAATGGTGAGAAAATCTGTCCGCATTGCGTAATCAAGCAATGTAAGCGAGATTTGGTGTGCACTTTCTTTAAATCCGAAGAAAATTCAAAACTACTAAAATACTCTATGAACTGGAATAGCAGGTTCAATTTTTCCTCTGAGGTTTCGAAAGTCAGTGGGAATTCTACGAAGCCAAATCATTCTTTCTAACCAACAGACATGTAATCGAATGAAATTCAAGTGGCTAACTTTAAACTTTTATTTGGCTAGTAATGAAAGATTCTTATAAAAGCCTCTAAAACCATCAATTTCTGTTCCAGAAAATTGAGACCTTGTGGGTTGCTTCCAAGATAAAATGACGTCGTGTGACGCCAGAGAGGTTTGTCTTTTCTTCAATGATCAATATTTGTTGTTTAGGAGGAAGCGGAAGTGTTAAGATCAATTTTCGATGAAGAAGAACTATCAATATCAAAGAGTTACAATCTAGAATACAAGGTTTGATATATTTTCTGTATGAAGGGGAAAAACATTAAGGTGGGTGAACAAGGAGCGACGTCTTCATTCATTGTACAAATCCATTGGCCTATGGGTTATCCTGATGTTATGCCTCGCATTTCTATGGATTCTTTTTATAACAATCATGTACCATTAAAGGTTAAGGAAATAATCGTCAAAGAATTGTTATCCCTTGCAGAAGATCAACTTGGCTCAGCCTTAACTTTCACACTGATTGAATATCTAAAAGAAAATTGTGAACGATATGTCAAATTGTTCTCAAGTGATAAAGTAGGAGAATCACAATCCAATGCACCTACAAGTGAAACAAGTCAAACATCTGTAACTCTTTCGATTTGGTTTTGAAACCTTTTTGTAGACGTCAAATAAGTTTAACAAACAACCTCAGTTATCTAAAGCACAAAAAAGAAAACAACAGGACAGATTGGGTCAAAATGGTGAATTACCTAGAGGTTGGAATTGGATCAGCGTAATAAAGCATCTTCAGCAGACTGGATCAGCATCGTAATATGGAGAGACTTATTTTCGTTACTTCGGTGTGTTTAGTGATAATTAAGTCCCATTTTTACCATATAATACAGTAATTTTGTTGCGCTGACTGCATATACTAACATAGCATGTTCAAAAATCTGAATTAGTGATGCTGTCAGTAAATCGAAAGTATGTTTTCAGTATTACTAAAAAAGTGTATATAGATTTCCGAAATGCAAGCTGTAAATCGTTTTATCAATGTACTCATAACAATTTGACTCTTAGTATATATAATTACAAATAAGACCTTTCATTAGTACAGAATATTGTTTTACTTTGTAAAAATGACAGTGTTTAGTAATTTTGATTGGTATATGTAATTATAACATAGTACAGTAACCTTGGTAACATGTTCAGTGGTTTTTTGGACTGCTACTCTGATCAAATATCCCAACTATGTCGAATACTGCTGGCTATAAACCGAACCATTTTTGTTCTTTGATGCTGAAGCACTGTTTTGCTTCTAAATTAAAGATGAATGTCTTATAAGATCATTGTACGAGACTCTTATTTGCATTTAAGTTTTCGTAGGACACCTCTCATTTGCTGCGCATAATTCTGAAATACTCTACCACGATCTAGTGTGTATTCGAACGATGCCGCCGTAATTATATAACACTGTAGACAGTGACAAATGCGTGCCAGACACTCATCCCACTGCTCAATGCTGGCTGCAGTAGTGTCCAGGATATTGCGTCCCAGCGGTATGAGCCAGTTAAATTGTTTTCTAAAGTCCCTTCCCCAGCATTTCAAGCGTCTTTGTGGGCTGTTAATCGGCGTACCAACTGCCTCACAAACCGTCTGTGTGACACTATGCTCTGTGTTTTGAGCCGGAACAGTTTCCAACCCGATTTAACTGCTGCTTCCACCTCACCCCATTTTAACCACCGGAACTCATGATCCGTATATGAACATTATTTAATTTTGTGTATGAAAGCCATATGCAATTCATTATGTTCACCTGTGTCCGTAAACATCCGCCCCATCGGTAACTTATAACAGTATGATCTATTTGAGTAACTTTGGTTCAGTAGCATATCCGTCCCCATACATTAGTTGTGGCCCACTGTCAGTCGCACATGAATGCAGGTAGTTACTTAGTGCTACTTCCTATTTAGCAGACAGATGGAGGATACCGTGTAGCTGTACTGACTAGATATAGGTTTTAGTTTGCGAAGAGAAGCAGAAGACAGTCCCCATTAACCATATATACAATGCTCGCCTAGATGCCCAACCTGTGCATCCAAGTTCTACTAAGGTATTTGTCTAGCGCGTTAGTTTAGGTTGTTTAGGTACGACCTATCTAGTACGACCCATCTCTAATTTGCATCCAGTGTAAGCAGAGATGACTACAAAGTAACTTGTATAGTTATTTATTTTTTACTCAAATATGCTGTTCTAGTCTAACAGCAAGTAAACAATTTTTAGTGAGAATCCAACCGAGTAATATTTTTGTTCTAGCTCCTAGTGTGACCTTGACACCAGCTAAGGAAGATCCGATGTCACAGGGACTCCAGGAACGTTCGCATGAAATGTAGCTTTGAGTTGAGTGCTAGAGACCTGTGCAGATCTCTTCGGTGTAACGTACATCAACAGCGAGGCTTCGTAAGGCACTGCCAGTTGTATGATTTGCAAACCGTAGGGGGACATCGTAGGTGGAAACCTTGAGCTTGGCGTGTAATGTCAGAATAGCTATGTTGAATATCTCATTAGAAGCCAGCTTTCTGAAGGTATTTATTTAGCGAATCAAAATGACACTGGTAGATCAACGTTTCAAACAAAAAAGAAAAGCCAAAAACATATTAGAAAAAGTAACGTTGATGGGAATTATGAAAAAACCTATTAATATGTGAGAATAGCAGTAAAATATGTGTAAAATAAATTTCGGAATTATTATTAAATATTTTATGAGATGCTAGTTGGCGGGGAAATAGAATCGAATTGAGGCTTTTACTGAATTTATAGCAATACCATTTGATCGTACAGGAAAGTTTATAAAAGAGAATGTGTCATTTCCGGAAAAATGTGCTTTTATAAGTTGGTATGAATTTTTGTTCGTCAGTTGCATGTATTGTTGATTAACTGCAGGATCTTTTCCAACATACAACTGCTATTCGAACCATTATGAAGTCCTAGGATAATTGTGAAATGATCTTCATTTTCGATGCAGAACGACTCGTAGGTAAACTGCTTGTTTCTTTTTGATGCTTCGTCTAACATTTCTGTTAGAACTTTAGATTGTTTCTGCATAGCTGGTGATTCATATTCCGTCCAAGCAACAAGCCAGTGAAGTGGTTTTTGTAGCAACATGCTTACATCATCTTGCATGAAATGGCGGATAGGACTTACACACCAAGCCTCTTCAACTGATTTAAGTTTCAATGCTTTGTTCACATTTGTTCTAATGATTGGACGCAGGTCATATACACCTGAAATTAAAACAAGATTCCTCAAACAAGTCAGCCAATTTTCATTTGCTGCAACTTGCTTCTGAGCATGATGTATCATTTCAAGTACCAAATGAGCCCCCGCGGAATGACCAACTAAGGTGATATTGAGTTTCGTAACATCCTGCTGGCTGAACATTTTCTGAGTAAGGTTTATGACCTTTTGCATTCCGAGACATAAACATTGTGGCATGAGCTCAAGTTTTTCTTTTGGCGCTAGTTTATAGGCTAAAGAAACGAATATACAGTCAGCATTGGCGATTGGAAGAGCCCAATGACTACACTCTCTCCATCCAATTGCTTTCCAATAACCACCATGAATATACACCACAATATTTGCTGGTGATACTGACGGATTTGCTGGGGGAAACCAATCGAAAGAATATTCTCCGAAACCGTCTTCCTCAAGCACAATATCGTCACTGAATGGAACTCTGAAAACACCTCTATCCGAAAATAATGATCTTGAAAGTTCACTTTGTTTAAGGAGAATTGACATAAGGTGTTTGATTGCACTGTCTCCGAAACAACCTGGTTCTCTAGTTTTAATAAGCCAATTTGTAGTATTGTATTGGTAATCCAATTCTGGATCGATTTCTGGTAAAAATTGACTCTCCATAATAAGGATTTTATAGTGAATATGGTAAGGCGAACTGTGTTCAGTATACTAACTTTGAAGGTGTCTATTCACTTAAATAAATCCGTTTTTCGGGATAATGACAGATGAATCAATCAGTGGTATGACTGGATGCAATCAGTCCAGCCGTTATAAAGTCACGTAATATAATAATCACCGGAATTTTTGTAAATTGATAGTTTGAGTCTATACATGCATTTAATGCCAATATATATACAGTAAAGCTTGACAAATCAGCTAAATTTTACGTCATCAGGTCAATGAAATAAGACCACTAATGAGCATAGACAAGATATTGTGTATGTGCATTTGTAAATGATAAAAATCAGATTGGTTAGTAATAATCTGTGTGACAAGTTTAGTTTAGCATTCATATAAATACTTTTAACATATTTAAATTTAATTTAAAGAAAATGTAGACTGCCTGACGTATATGTGTCTTATCAAAAACAAAACGATAGGCAGAATAAATGAAATGGTTAAGAGAAGATGCAGGCGATCAATATTCGTAATGCAACTTTGTTCAAAAAAACGTTGACTTAAAATTATATTTAGATTGAATATGTCTTCTGAGTGAAAATTTTACTGACTCTCAAAGATAAAGTAGAGTCGCGATTTAATCAGAGTACAAAAGTTAGAAGCGAAATTCAGAACTGATCGTATATTTTCCAGATTTGTGCTTTTATCTATAGCTTGTGTTCAGTACTTTATGGAATTTCGGCTATTCGATGATTCCTGAATTTGTTAAACTAAACGTAATTATGCACACCACTACAACAAATCACTTAAGTGAAAGACTTACCCCTTGTAAACGTTGAGTCAGCACATTTTTGAAATCTGGAAAGTTACATCTTTGTCATCTTCATTCGTCACTGAAACCATATATCATATTATTGCTAACACATAACAAAACATTTCATAGACTGCACAAATGAACGATTCGGTATTACTCAGTTTAATAACATATACAATTGTCCGTTGATAGGAAGCGATATCCGAAATACTGGACTATTTGCATCCTACTTAGATTAGTCTGAGCAGTCATACACTGCATAGCAGCAAACATATTTTTTCTTATGCTTAGTTTAGCAGATTTCCACACTGACTTCAGAGTAATGAATGTCTATCTTAGTTTTCCGATCCTGTCTTTCACATTCTCCTCCGTGTCGCCTGTGGTTGAAACGATGCTCCCTAGATAAGTGAAAAAAGTTCCCACCTTCAGATTTGTCCCGTCGATAGTGATTAGTGCCTGTAGTCGGCTGGCTATCGTTATCTCTCTTCTCTATTGTTCATTTGAGGTCCTGTCTTTGCTGCAACCTACATCTCCACTTTCTTGAGAGTGATATGAAATCTATCTGATGTTTGGTGAGTCCTGTCAAGTGCCCAGTCGACAACCACTACCTTGTCGTGGTGGTCGGGCTTGAAAACAGCAGTGACCCAACAAGCTACACTGACTGGGACTTATGTTTCTGTAGGTCTTGCCATGTCAGGAAGGTTATTTGGATAGCAGTTAGACTAAAAGCAGTCACTATGGAGTAAATGAGCTCCAGAATCCAACCGGAACAAATGGCGTATGAACCTGTATTGGTCACCGGCAACTGTTGGAAAGTACCTCCTGACTCTGCTTCGCTGCCTTGCATATTAGGCACCATGTCAAAGACTCGCGGGGTGATCCCTTAAGACAACCACCTGCTTCGGTCTGGGCGCCTAGGCAGCCCTCACAATATCAAAGAAATGAAACAAGGAACTATCAGTGGAATTAATCACCCGCTCTTTATAGTGCTCTCGAACAATAATGATGTTTCAAGTGACGCATTTCTTTATAACCTTAATTTTATGCATAGACTCCTGTGTCTTACTTTTGCTATCCTTGACATCTTTACTTTAGTCAGCCTTTCCCTTTTGCCTGAATTCCAAGCCTATCAGTGCGTTTCTAGATTTCAGTGAGAAGCTTTCGAAATGGTTGTCCCCAGTGCGACACCCAACATAAATTTCCTGAAACCATGTGCCACGTCCAAGCTTGTCACCTATAATGTTCGAACACTAATGCAAATCGAACAACAGCTAGGTTCGGTAAGAGCATTGGAAAGCCTCGCTATCGTTCTCTACTGTATTTCGGAGACCCACACTCAAAATCCCAGTGAAGTGCTTCGATTATCCCCTCCATCTGAAGGTTCGAATAGTATGTACCACCTACGCCTGTCCGGGGACCCTGTGGTATCGGGATCCGGTGTAGCTGGTGTCGGTGACGCACTAAATGTTAGAGACGAAGCTGCATTACTCGACTAGATCCCCACTAAAAGTCGTTTATGTGCTGTGAGGCTGGAAGTTTATACGACAGCAAAAAGCGGTTTCTATTTGTTGTCGCTGTCAGTGCACCGATGGATTGTAGTCCAGATTCAATTAAGGATGAGTTTTACTACCGATTGAGAGATCTACTGAACCAGGCTTTTCAGAGAGATATCGTATTGCTGGCTGGGGACTAGAATGCACAGACCGGGCATCTGGGCGCAGGAGAGAGTCGCCTAGGTGGTCAGTGGGGTTTACACGGTCGCAGGTCAGACCACATTACAATAAGCTATCGTTGGCGTGGGTCGGTAGGAGATTGTCGCTCCTTCTGGAACACGTGTGTAGATACCGATCACGCACTGGTCCGTGCTCGTGCGTGCTTACGACTGAACGGACGAGGTAAACAGCTGGCCGTAAACCCATCGCATCCCCAGCTCGATCAGGAAACTAAATCCCTATTTGAGGAAGAACTAGCTAAACACATATCTGAGTTCGACAGCTGTGCTCACCCTGAAGAAGCTTGGAAGAATATTCAAGCAGCCATAGATACAGCTGTAAAAGCTGTGAATAAGGTAAATCCAAAGGTAAGTAAAAACCATTGGATCTCTACCGCCTCATCCGAACTGACAGATGCTAGAAGACTTATTCCGGCGAGCTCCGAATTCAATGAGGAGCGAACATTGGTGGGTGATAAAGGCGAAAGAGATGGAAAAAGCATCAGCGATAGGCAAATCATAAGTGAAACAATCTCTGAGAAAAATGGCACTATAATTAGCTCCCAGGATAGACGACTGGAACGCTGGAAAGAACACTTTGAGGAGCAGTTTAATTGGCCCACAGCCACACTCAAGCTGCCGAACATCCAACACCTCCCTGAATGGGATATAGACACAGGCCCTCCATCCCTAACTGAGGTTACTAAAGCTGTCACCAATCTGAAACAAGGCAAAGCAGCAGGACCTGATGGAATGACTCCAGAGGTATTTAAGTACGGTGGAGACAGTTTACTGTCTGCATTAACTGAGGTTCTGTTATGTACTCGTCGATAAATTATTGTTATGGACTGGTCGAGAAACTAATAGTCCTGACGCGAGAAGGCGGAAATCAGAAGACCACTAGGTTTGCGATGATACTTCTATTGTCCAAACACAAGGAGACGAAAATAAATGGTCTCACACCAAAGTGATAAGTAAGTAAAGTAGTTGTAAAGTAAAAGTAGTTCACACAAATTGTGAATGCGAATATATATAAATAATTCAGACAAGCGTGGGAAAAATCATTAGACAGTCTTAACATGAATGGCTAATTATAATGGAGTGTCGATCCAATTATACATAGCGAATATGGCAGACATGCCAACAAACATATATGGATATATGTCACCAAGCAACGGACTGTCAAAAAACACTCATATTATATATAATATAATATAAGGAGAATACACATTATTAAAGGAGACAAGTCCATACAAGTGAAGTGGTCACAGACTAACCGAGCAAACAGAAAGAGAGACCAACATGCACACACACACATAAATATATATATGTGGATACATATCAGGTTCTAAGCAGCGTCTGGGAATCAGAAGAAGTCCCGTCGGGTTGGTGTAAGTCACTGATCATCCCGATATACAAGAAGGGAGACAAGTCTTCCTGTGATAATCACAGAGGGATTAGCTTGACTAATATAGTATCTAAAGTCCTAGGCTCAATAATCATGCGTAGACTAAGTGGTGCTCGGGAGGCACAAACACGAGAGAGCCAGGCAGGCTTTACACCAAGGAAGAGGGTGTACTGATCATATCTTCACCCTCCGACAGATTCTAGAACATAGGCATTCCTACCGGCGTCCAACAATCATTATATTTCTTGACCTAAAGGCGGAATTCGATTCTGTCGACCGAGAGGTTCTCTGGAGATGCTTGGCTGCAAAAAAGATGCCGAGAAAATATATTGCACTGATTAAGGCACTTTACTCGTACTCATGCAGCCAGGTGAGGGCTTACGGTGAGTTGTCATCTGAAGCGGTGACGACTAGTGGTGTCCGTCAAGGATGCCCATTATCCCCTTTTCTATTCAACTTCATCATAGATGTGTTAATGGACTTAACCCTAAGTGACTTCAGCGACTCAGGGATTGACTTGCTACCAGGGGATAATCTCGTTGACTTAGAATATGCAGACGATATAGTCCTTCTAGGCAAAGACGCTGACAAAACGCAGAGTCTTCTAAACACCTTGAGCTGCAATCTACGAATCTTTGGCATACGATTCACTCCCGCCAAATGCAAGATGATGTTATAGGACTGGACTACACCGACTCCCAGATTAGAAATAGGAAGTGAAGTGGTAGAGCACGTTGACCGCCTCACTTATTTGGGAAGTACCACCATCCAGTGCCAACGGGTTGATCTCTGACGAAATCTCAGCACGGATACAGGGGGACTCGTTCGCATATGCCAGTTTACGCCGTCTCTGGCGTAGACAAGATATTCGACTATCGACCAAAGGGCGGGTTTACTACTCATCAGTCCGCTCCATCCCTCTTTATCACTGTGAGTGAGACATGGCCATTGAAGGTGGAAGACATGAAAACTTGGCTAGCTGTCTTTGATCATAGGTGCCTGCGTTCTATCTCCCGTGTGAAGTGGCATAATAAGGTGAGCAATATTGAGGTTAGGCGTCGAGTGCTAGGTAAACAGGGGAAATCAATCGACGAAGTCGTGAAGCTACAAAGACTGAGATGGTTAGGACATGTGTTACGTATGCCAAGTCATCGCCTCCCTCGACGAGCAATGTTAGCGGATATAGGGTCAGGCTGGAAAAAAGCTAGCGGCGGTCAAACAAAAACTTGGCACCAGTCAATGAAATCCACAACAGTTGGTCTAAGCCACGTAGGAAGGTGTAGACTTCCTGGTTGGGGTCCTCGAGGCGGTAAAAACCAATGGTTGGAAACAATAGGTGACATGGATCAAAATCGTTCTCAGTGGCGCAGATGCATCCACTCCTTGTGACTTATGATTTCCAATGAAACTGTTTTGTTCTTCGTTATTACTCTTCCTTTGTCTCACACCTCTGATTACTGTCTCTGTTATGCTTTTCTTGTACTTTCTTCTGCTTCGTGTGGTACGTGGAGTGTGGCGACTTGAACTTCCGCACATTTGTGCAAAGTTCTATGTCGAAAACGGACAGACCCTCCAATCGAAGTGCGGGTCCGGAAGAAACTCCATAAGCACCCCACCCAGACAATCTACCTGCGGCTCTTTTTATAGACCGTCGCGAGACTCTTGTAAGGGCCTTGACTGGATTATTCTGGAAGGTGTGGGAGATTGAGGATATGCCAATCAATGTGGAATAAAGTCATTATCGTCGACATCTTTTTATCAGGATCTACGTAACACATGTGGCGACCATAGGTGTATCAGTTTGCTACCAATCGCTTCTAAATATTGGCTGTTGTCTTGCTTCACAGGCTGTGCAAAACACGTGAGGGATTGAATAGCGAAGGGCAGGCCGGGTTTCGTTCAGATGGTGGACGCATTGATCATGTACTCACCCCTCGTCAGTTGTTGGAACACAGCCACACGTATTGCAGGCTAACAGTCGTTGTGTTTCTTGATATTAGGGCTGCCTTCGATTCGTTGGGTAGAACTGTGTCCTGGAACTGTCTGTTAGAGAAGGGTGCATTTAAGAATTTTGTGAAGATACTGAAATCCCTTTACAGAAATATCCCAGGTATAGTAAAGGCATACAACCAACTATCATTACTGTTCCCAACCAACAGTGGGGTTAGACAGGGTTGCCCGATCTCTCCATTTCTGTTTAACTTTGTCATCGATGACATTCTGGAGTCAGCTAGGAAGGATGTGTGTGAAGGTGGTGTAGATCTGCTCCCTGGAGAGAGAAATCTTCGCTATCATATCTAAATCACACGAGGATATGGCAACAATATTATCTATAGGCAACTCGATGTACACATATAGGCAAAGTACGTCTACCATATTCAGAGTCTCAATTCGCAGATATTTTCGATAGTTTGTTTATTTGTCTTCCCACTATGTTTTCCGTGCTCATTTCTTCTTTTCGTCATTAAATCTACCTCTCCGCTATTCCATATTCTTGCAGACAACATACATATTTATATCCGTATCCATATATTACTTATAAGTTTCGTCAGTAGCATACGCCACAATATCACAACACTAACCATAAGGTATTTCGAGGAGTTTATTGCTCGAAGTGGTGACAATGTGTTTTCACACAACTAAGTATATCAAACTGTAAAATATCCCTCCCTGACGTTATTCTAAGCGTATTTGTAACAGGATTCCATACTCTACACTAAACTCCTGGAAACCCATGACAAAAGACAAAATATGACTAAAACGATACAACAGTAGTTAAAGAACAGTCAGATAATTCAGGTATATATTTTTTAGAAATCGATCAGTAGTCTACACTCAACAGAAACAAAGTTAGAAAAAAGAAGTCATTTGTGCCTGTGGAATGCAAAGGATAAACACAAACAGATAACAGTAAATACTTCTAAACTCTGAAAGTAACAATGAGTAGTCTTCGTGAGCTTCATTTTGACGAATTTCGAAATAGATTCCATCTCCTTTGCTGAGAACAAAAGAACACAGAATACAGTGGTCAGTTAATTCATGTAACTTACTTATATTGCTGAACAAAATTCAAGCAATTATTGGTAAAATCTGCTTAATAGTTGTAAGAATAAGAGTACCACAACTCGCAAATCAATTCACGATAAACTGTTCAAATAGCTCGTATCATGACTGCCTAAAGATCAGTAGTTGAGAGAAAGGTTAAAAGATGTGATTCAAGTTTTGAAACTAGTGACCTACAAACTGACCATTCAACGTGATAAATATTTGCAACCAACACTAGACAGTTTTGTCGTTCTTCTAATCCTTATCTACTACCACACAATTACACAAGCTTACGTTCTTCTACTGTTTTAGAAAAGCCTTGATTACACGGACAGACTTTTATACCTTACTGTATGTACATATACGAATACTAATACAAGCTCATAGATTAGAAAAACGCAAGAATATGCAACCTTATTTATCGAAGGATGAACATTTCTCAGCATCTAAAATCCTACTGTGTTGTGTGTGATAGGTAATTTTCAGCCAGTTTAAGTTGAAACACCAAGCAGATTGTATAAAGTGCTCAGTTCACACATGTGCATTATGTTAATGATAAAGGTGGTGCTGTTACCACCCACTGAGTAGCTTACATATGTTACAATGAGCTGCAATTCAACGTCACACTATACAGTAAACAAACTGAGTCAATGATGTACATTTCTCCTCGAAATGGATTTGAGCTAATCAAACAGACGTTATGTGCATATATCATCGCTCACATGAAAAGAAAACCCACCTGGTTAACTAGCTTGCTAGTTTTCTAGCCGGGCTCAAGCCCAGGTAAAGAGGGAGGGTTGGGTGTGAGTCTAGCAACCCCACACCACAAAATCTATCAAACTGCTAGAGAAACTTCAACACACAAAAAAATATATTAAAAATGCAAAAAATCCAAAAAACGATCTTATTCTTCGGAAGAATCGGAGAAGCGAAATGACACAGCGGGCTGGCTGGTGAAAGCCTTCGGGAAGCCAATCAGTCTTCTCTCGATGAAAGCAAAAATAAGAATTGGGACGTGGAGTGTCCATACAATGTACGAAACTGGGAAGGCTGTCCAGGTAGCCAAAGAAATGCGAAGATATGGCACAGAAGTGCTGGGTATCTGCGAGAGCAGATGAAATGCATTATCACGATTGTAAACTGGATAGTCAGTAATCTACTCTGGTTTGGTTACCCAGACGATAACCACGAGCACACTAAGGGAGTGGATGTAATGATATCACCAGTGACAACCGAAGTCCTAATGCAGCGGGAACCAATTTCATCCAGGATCATGGTAGCAAGATGCAACTCAAAAGACACCAATCCACTAACGAAAGCAGAAACTCCAAATGCGACCAAGCTACGAAAGTCCGGAAGGTAGCAGGACCAGATGGAATTCCGCCGCCCCACCCTGAAGCACTGAAAAGGGACCCAGAGACTGGTCAAGCCATTATTGTAAAAGTAAAGGTATCAACATACTGAAAGAAAGATTACCTCGTCAAACTGCCAAAGAAGGGCGACTTGGGCCTCAGTAAGAACTGGCGCGGAATAATGCTATTGTTCACACCAAATAAAATATTAATCCACATTACCCTGGAGAAGATAATAGGTGCACTAGATACAGAACTCCGCCCACAGGAATAAGCTGGATGCAAGAAAGACAAGTCTTGTGCTGATCAGATTCCAACTCTACGCATTGTCATAGAAGAAAGCATAAAATGAGTCAAACCTCTACCTCAAATTCATCGACTTCGAATAGGCCTTTGACAGACAGCGTTGACCGAGAAGTAATTTGGAAACTACTTCGACATTATGGAGTGCAGTACCTAAGTCTTTATCAACTTTATTCAGCAGCTGGCTTTGTGACATTACCACGTGTCAGGTGACCCACAACGGAAAACTCAACGAGGCGTTCGAAGTGAAGACAGGAGTAAGACAAGCTACCTGCCTATTATCACTAATGCTATTCTTAGTTGTGGTGGACTGGATTATGCGCCAGACTGTGCATTGGGAGCGAGGAGACAATAATACGCTGGACCACCGAAAAGAAGACGCTACAAGATCTGGTCTTCGCGGGTGATACATGTTTAATGTCACACAGACTTGAAGACTTACAGGCGAAAACCAACAAACTGGCTGAAGATACTACCAGCGAAGACGAGATTCCACGTGAACATAGACAAGCTGGAGGTGGTGAAGATAACCAAGGAACAGCAATGGCAACAACAACCAGCATCAACAGGAAAGATTTAACAGGGGTTACCTCCACTTATCTAGGAAACACCGTTTCAACTACAGGCGGAACGGATGAAGATGTCAAAGCCAGGCAGAATCAGAAAGGCAAGATACGCCTTCATCAACCTGAAACTAGTTTGGAAATCTTCCGCACTCAGCCAGCATAAGGAACAAGATTCGCATTTTCAACACCAATGTCAAATCGGTCCTTCTATATGGGTCAGAAACTTGCACAGCGTGTCACGAAAAGGATATTCGACAGCCAGTTGCAGACTTTTATTAACAGCTGCCTTTACTTCATACTGAAGATTAAATGGCCAGAAAGAATTAGTAACAAGAAACTGTAGGAAGAAAACAACAAGTGAGAGCTGATCGCTCAACAAATATGTAGGAGGAAATGGAGATGGATCGAGCACACATTGAGGAAAGCGTCGAATGACATCACGCGCCAGGCCCTCAAGTAGAATCTAAATGGGAAGCGACGAATAGGTCGTCGTAGGGTGACATGGAGGTGATCCTGTGAGAAAGAGATAAGGCATTTTGGGCAATCATGGACCCAGCTGAAGAGGACGGTAGAAAACAGAACAAAGTGTAGGTGTGTTGTTGAAGCCATATGTTCCACTCGGAATCCAAGGGAATAATAATAATATAATTACCTCTATAATGCTCAATAATCATAAACATATACTTTCAAACAGCTACAGTAATCCTCTGTATGTAAAATAATAACCGTTGGTTTTTTAAATTATTGCTTTTTGTTGCCTGTTAAACGAGATGACTGCGAATTTCATAATTCGTAATTTTTATCTGCACCTTCATGCATCAGACCAAATCAAACACATCTATTACATATTAGATAATGATGAAATTCGTCTGAAATGATGATGAGCACTATTAACTCATGATGTGCGAATCCAGAATACATTTTCGTCTGAGCTGCAGTCTTAACGTTTTGATTTCACAGTAGGTAGTACCACCATGACAACGTGAAATAAACTAACTGTGATTACTTATCCCATTTATATATATATATATATATATATATATATATATATATATATATTATATATATATATATATATATATATATATATAATTGGTAATACTTATTGACAAGCATTTTCGCCATTTAAGTCGGATAATATGATCAGTGCATTTTGTTTTGTGGTCAGACCTTCAGTGGTTGAAGCCATCAACACAATTCCCTCCAGCCGACATCTATAAACAATGTAGAAGAAAGAGATCCTCTTTTGAAGGGTCTTGATGTTACTGTTTTTCCGAATAATTCGAGCTTATTTCTTCCATAATCTACACTGGAGGAGTAACAATACGTGAAGCAATCCCTACAGCAATAGTTGAAATGCGCACATGCAGTGTTCTTGCACGTTTTTTTTAAAATTTTTTTACGTTCCCAGTGGAATATAGGGCTTCAAGCTAGAGACGTGAAGTTTCGGTAGCAGTGGTGTTTATTTTTACGCGATGGAGTTGATAGCCGCATGCCCAACCTTCCCTCTTCACCACTCTGATTACTGGCTTAGCAAGGTAAATGAATGCATCGGCCGGGAATCAAACCCCGAACCACTTGCGTGGTTGTCAAGCATTCAACCGTTGTGCCACCGACGCCCCTTCTTGCATGTAACACTCAGTAATTGTATATATTTATACGTGTTTAGGCGACCGTGAAATATTAGTATAGAAATGGGTTCTAAAATACTGTGGTATATGAAAGTATATCACAGGAAGATGAAACTTGGATATAAGAAATGGCTTGGATGTTGTACGAAACACTAACAATGATACATAAATTGGCCTAAAACCCAACAAGTAGGTTCCACTTGAATTCTTTAGATTCTCCTGTAAGATAATGCTAATCTAAAACACCAATCACTTAACAATTAAAGGTATCTTCACTTTCCGGTCGACCAACACTGAATTAATTTCTATTAAACTTTAGCCTTTAATTTAATGAATATTGTTTGTAAATAAGAACCACCTTGTTCTTTTTTCGTCTGAGAAAAACAGTTATTGTAAACAACCTCAAACGAAAACGGTTACACTCCAATGGTCACAACAATATTTATTTTTACAAACTGCTAATTATAATTTCTTTTATCGATTGATTAGTATAATACTGTTTGAATAATATTGGTGTTGATGAGTCTTGCTTACGGCGCAGGACGCAAATCATATTGTATACAATTATGCATCAATACAAATTACCATATACTACTTTCCAGTAGACATATTCGATCTGTAACGAGTTTTCTAGTATTGCAATAAATAATAACGTATCTTAAAATGTTGACTTGCATGGATTTAGTTGGTTCGCAACTAGATCACGCACTAATATCAGTCAGAGAACCACGGAAAACCAGCGAGTACACTGGACAGTTATTTCGTCTTCGTTTAGGATTTTTCAGTAACATGAACACATGACCTTACCGGGATCCAACCCGAGGTATACAAGGGTTTAGAAGCGAAGTCTTACAAATCTATTTTGAATAAAGTTAGCGAAACATACACATTGCTTTGATGATATTAAATAGTTGGAGGCAATCGGCCATAGGAAGCCTTGGACCTAGGTTTTGTGCTAGTTGGCACTCGTCAGCAAGGCGTATCTGCAACCTTGAAGGAACTCATGTCCCTTCTGAGATTCGAACCAAAGAAAGGACTAGACACTTCACACTAGTCTCATCAAACATATACATTGCATTGCATGAAGCAGAATTTCTACGTACAACAACTGTTACTTACCTAGAAAATACAGGAAATAGCCAATAGACAATTTTATCACCAAATACCTGAAGAAAGTTCTCCTTCCAACCAAGATCAAAACCGTACACACAATTGTTTTTATCACGGAAATTCGGTCGTCTAAAGTATTCTGAAATGAGACATTTGAAAGAAAAAATCATAAATAAAACGTATTTGATAATGGCAAGTAATATTATTTATTTGTGAGAAAAATTCTTACCTAGAGTAGACCGATTTCTGATAATTAGGTAAACGTGAAAAAGTAGAAGGATTGACAATGCGAACGCGAACACAGCCGATAAAAGTGCCAGCATAAATGCTTGGAAGAGACTCCATGAGTGATTACTACTATCACGGTTAACCTAATTAATAATAACAAAAGTAACGATAGTAGTCAGAATATGGTAGTAATAGAATAATCGAAACTAACTCAATAATGATATAATTTTGTATAACGTACCTTTACATAGCCGAGAAAATAAGGCAAAGCAAAGGAGAAACACATTAGACAGTAAATAAAGCCGTAGAAGATGAACAGAATGAAATATTTGTAGTTGTGATAACCAACACAGTTATTTATCCAAGGACAATGATGATCCATTTTTGGGACACACCTAAAAGAAGGACAAAAACAAGAGCCTAAGCATGATATACAAATGCAGTAAATTAATAGTCTCATAATTCATATCCTGATATTTTCAGACAGTCTTACGCAGGAAAAACAATGCAGAATATGATGTAGCCTTGTGTCACTGTAAATCGTCTAACTTCTTAGCTTAAATAACGAGGGAGAACTGATAGAACAAGAAAATAAAAGAATTACTAAACCGATATTAATGATTATTCATCAATTCACCTTCTTATACTTACATAATGAGCTAAAATATATCGGCTTGAAATACTACGAAATCAACAGTTGCAAAGAAATGCAGAAGCGATGCACAAAAGACAAAGTGATATGTTGCTTTTTCTTCGGTCCATTGCGTCCCGAGTGGAACATATGACTTCAAGCTTGAGCTTTGAAGTTTCAGTCGCACTTGTGCGCATTTACTGGTGGGGTTTTCAGCCTCACTCATAACATCGCCTCTTTAACGGGTTAACTACCGGCTAGTCGAGGTTTAGGAATACGTCACCAGAGAATAGAAGCCGGATCATGTACACCGTTAGCAAGCATTCTAACATTGAACCACTGAAGCACATTATATGTTGTAGAACGTTTAAAGGATACTTTGTGGATATATTTTTGTCATCGTAACTGATTCTCAGTCGGTTTGTCAGTGAATATAAGGAAAGATAATAGTTGATGAGTTACGTAGATTTCTAGAGGAGACTGAAATAAGAGAAATACATCTACTAAACTCCACTTACAACTACCAAATCAAGATAGGTTAACAGTCAATTCTCTGTACCTTCTTGATTAAAGAAAAATACTCAGTTTATGCAGTAAAAGTGAATTCCTAGAAAAGACCGTCATGACGTTAGACCATATTACACATTTACTGTTATTAGCTGATGGAAGCTTAGTAGATAGGTTTATAATCGAATTAGATCAGTGAGTCAAAGCTCCTCAGTAACTTTTGAGGTACATTAACTAAAACTTCGACATAGTAGCCTTAACTTTCATACAATAGTTTAGTAGCAAAATTGATGGAACTCCAGTTGTTTGTTGAATTTTACAAACACTAATTTTTAAAATAAACGAATGACAGAGAGTTTTACCAGTTTTATAGTCGAAAGACCACATCTATATCCCATTTTTGAGAACTTTGGATAATCCAGATGAAGTTCCTAGTCTGAACTTCTTTATTTGACTCAGTATACTTGACTCAAATGAAAATCAGTGAACACCCGTCATGCAGGGGATGATCTTGACGGTCAACATTAGAGATAAATACACAATTCAATGGTCACCGGCGGTTAGACTGCAAGATAGACGAATCACAATATTTTCCAACATCCACCTTTTGAACTCAAGACAGAATACAATTCATTATTTGCTAAATACGCAGTTGGAGATAACTCATTACGGCTTCTTTTAGTAGCCCAGAATATTCAGATCGCAAAATGTAATATGAGTGACATTATAAACAGTCGAAGTTCAAGTGGTTTTATCTGATTTCCCTCAGTGGAACGAGTCAGTCTGAGTACTATGTTGATGAGCTCAGTCGAAACATGAGCGAAGCTACTATCCAGCTTTTAGACTATATCGATTAGGCCAGCTATAAGCCACACATTTTGCATGAGGCCTGATGATAGTATTCAGTTGTCCAGGTGAACGCAGGTGGGGCGGGATTCAAACCCGCAAAACACTGGTTGAAATTCGAGTGGTTAGGCATTTCTTACCAGCAAGCACTACTTACTAGTTGACATGAGTCTTCTAAAACTACAAATACCTATTAGCGGCATATATCACCTTGCAAGTGAAAATATAATTATTTAAACTACGTGCATAACAGAATGTAATGAAAGTAACTTGTAAACAAAATAGAATAAAAACAATTAATAACTAGGAATTGATTAACAGTTTATATATATATATATATATATATACCTCATACAACTTGAACAATGATGTGTACGATCTGGTTTCAAAAGGAAGCATATGTCACAGAACGGTGGATTGATTGTCTTCCCAGTAGTAAGTACAGACAGTTGCTTTTTGTCAACCAAATTACTTAAAAATGCTGATCGATCATGGTCATTTTCTAATTCTATGAAATATTTTGTCTCATTTGCTGAAAGACAGAACTGTAAAAGGACAAACATGAACATCAAACAAATAGGCATACTTTCTTTGGTATTGAAGTTACTCTAGCAAAGGTAGATTTCCAAAAAGACAAATTGGATAAGACGAATATAACGTGATATGGAATGAAGAACAAGACTGAAACGAAACACAAATAATTAAAAATTATAGCAATTGCAACTTACTCTTTGGATATGTGTCAGTCAATACATCTAATTAATTTATCATTGTCAAAACAAACTGAGAAAACACTAAGTTACCTTGAGATATCACAAACACAACTGTATAATATGACCAAATAATAATCAACACAATAATTGTAGCAGGAATTGTAGAACAAAAATCGTTTAATTTCTGCAAACATATTGATAGACGATTTTTAGAGTATGCATCTGGAAGATATACATATTTCACATGACCCCAAACATCACATACTCATAGACTGACAAAGGGTATATCTACAACAAAGAACAAAATACGTAGGAAAAATTACTACGCCAGAATTATGTAATTCAAGCTGGACTCACAAAAAGAGATAACCTCGTGTTGATATAAATTTAGCAAAACAGACAATTAAAAGTACAGTCTGATACAGATGTCTATATATTAAAGTCACCACACTGTGAATCTAAATGTGATAAAGTCAACGCACCTACATGAACGATCACTGATTCTTAACATATTAGGTGATCCAATCTATATGTCGACTTTAAACCCCAGGCAATAATCCTAGTTCCTATGTGATGATTTCTATCATTGGAGAATTATGATTGACAATCACAGACTTAATGGACTGACCTTGTGAGAAAAATATCCAAATTCGTATTACTATACTTGACAGCTGTTTGTTGGACAGGAAGTGGCTTGATAAAAAAACGAATACCATGGTGCTTTATATATATATATATGATTTAAATTTGTACATAAAAACATCGCACACTTGACGTGATAGCTATAAATCATTCAAGCTGTTTGCATATTCATTTATTTTCCTACGTTTTTTAAACATACATTTTCCGTTTGACACATACGATCGCTCTTCTTCGTCAAACAAAAGCTAACTTTTCGCAGCAGAGGAGGATGATAATCTACTACCCGCTTTTACCGAGGCTTCAGAGTCCAACTGTTTTCAAAGCCATTTCGATGTGTTTTCCCAACCTCAAATGCAAAGTGCTACTCCTCCTCCGTATCCACACATATTTAGATTAGTATACAATACGGCTTGTGACGTAATCACTCATACAATGCTCAGCAGGCTTGTAGAAAAGTATGTTTCTTGCTTCTTTGATAATTATAAGCCAGGCTTCATAGTTAGTCTTACGAATGATAGAGTCCAGTTGGTCTTTAAATTTTTGTATTTATTTTTCCATTATAAGGTAATTTGATGTGGACATCTTTTCTGGGACAGTAGACTGAAATACTCCGAGGTGACAACCATCTGTATAACTAAGTCCCTCCCCCCTTTGTGTAAAAAGTAATTTTTAACCACATGATTTGATCAGTCTTTGTTGAGTTCGCCGGATCCAAAAGCATTAGTATTAGCTGAAGCCATTTATTGCAAATAATTCGCTTCATACACTCGATAAATGCAATCAGAACAGCTTTTGCAAAGCAAAATGAACATATTTCATCTCCTGAGGCTTTTGTCACTTGGAAACAACCTGAATAGTAAAATGTATGAGCAGTCAATGTGCAGTAATTTTGGACATACTTTTAATGAATAGTCAGTTAATTTTGGATGAGTGGAATAAGATTCCGAAAAGGAAAACGATGTTCAAATTATACAAGAAGTACTTGTTATTATTCCCCTTTCTCCCTTTGTTTGGATTATTTCATAACTACGTGTATCTAAACTCACGTTTAGACCTAGGAATATTCCTCTCCTTACAATGCAAGAATATATCTGCTTTGATTATTTTATTATTCCCAATTCCTTTATGATTTGAACATCGCGTTATTATTCGGAGTTTTATTCTACTTTTCCAAAGTGAACTGAACATTCATTTAAAGATGTCTGTAACTGCTTTAAAATGATTCGCCAAACGTTTTAATATTCAATTTGTATCTAGTTGAAATGAAATGTATTCATCTTGACACCTAAAACCTGTCTTGAAAGTATTTCAACTGGATACCGGATGTTTATCACTAGTCAACCTTCATTTTACACCGTTACAGGTGTTTTATGTCCCTTTTTAGTAGACACTATTAGTTTAAAAAGCATTTTTGTAAACACTTTTCTGCGCCTATATGTAGACAGTTGTGCGTGCTGGTAGATGAAATTTCTCCCCACATCTGTATAGCCTGGTCTCTTCGAGCACTTCATGTAGGGCAACTCTGTGTCCATTCACTGGTTTATCCATAGAAACGTCTGAATAATCCTTATGCCTGATAGTGTATACAGCACGGGCTGTCATACTGAAAACAATTTAGTACACAGATTTTTTCGTTAGAGTCACAAAGTGAACCTGATAAAGTCCAAGATTTTTAAGCTTAATCTGGGCTTGTTGGTAAGCACAGATGAATAGAAGATACAAAATCCAGATATGGGTTTTCGAGCTGGAGATTTTGAATTTGTACAATTTAGACTAGAAAAATTGACACTCAAATCAGCCATACATATCATACTCAGTAAGTCATTACAACGAGAACTGACAGTAAATTATACGTTATAGGACGCCAATAACTTTCAGTAATGCATTGCATCTTTTTTAAACCAATTAGTCACAACACATTTTAATGGCAACTCATTGTTTAAACAGTACCACAGAAAAAACAGCTTCATCCATTAGAAAGAGGAGGATTTAGAATGCCAGTCTAATCAATCCATGGCAGATTTTCACTATGGAAGAGAAGGCCTTAGTAAGTGAATTGACAGCATTAATGTCTGCATTTAGTCGATTCACACTGTGCAGCAGTTTACAGTACTTTTTCACAGACTACTAGTAAAAGTGAAGCATTTGTTTACTACATGTAACAATTCTTTACCAGTATCTGTAATATATATATATATATATATATATATTCATCTTCTTGAGGAACTTAATAAATACCTGTTAATTACACGCCAAATAGTACTAACAAAATATGTCACTGGGAGTACACAACACCAAGAGCTATCGATAACTGCTCTTGCCTTAGTTATTTCGTCAATGAAAAATGACAACAAAGAAGTGAAATATACTTTAGGTGTAATTATTTCTATTTTTGAATATTTCTTCATAATAATGATAACTTAGTTCACGTAGATTGTTCTCCGAATAGTTAGTAATTAATTGAATCTATGGATTTTCTTCCACAGGCTTTCTTGAAGAAATTGCAACAAACTAATGACAGTGACCAGTGTATTGAAAAACTTCACATAACTAAGGATGCGACGATACGCAATGCATAGAAACGTTCCATTTTGTCCTAAATATAGTTTTCACATAACCTCTTGAGAGTTTCAACGAGTCTACAGAATTATGAAAGTGCTGTGAAATATAGACAACAGCAAAAGACATAAGAATAACACTTCTCTTTTGGTGGTAATGATACCTGTACAGGGTTGCTGACTACAAAAATATGGTATTTGGTGAAAATTACAGAGTATTTCAGATGACGAGAGTAGAATAACGATCAGTATCCCTGGGGAAATGATTTAATCACTCAGCAGTAGAGGTATTTGAGAACTCCAAAACTTTTAGCACTCAAAAAAAGTCTGTTGAGATGGTTAGCGACAACTGTTCCAAAAGAGAAATCTGGTTGTGATTCGGGAGCGAATCAATGTAAACACTCCTAAGAAATGCATGGGAATTCCGCACAACCAAAATGCCCTGAAATTATAATAAGTATCCCGGAATTACCGCAAAATTATTTACTTCCGACAGTTGTCAGGAGGAGGAAATAATAAACTATCTAAGTAGACAAATTTTACGATGTTAAAAGTGAAATTGACATACCCAATTCTACTAATAGGTACCACCTAAACAGACTTTACTGTCTCTCAGTGTCCCTTTCCTCACTCTTCTGACTACTCTGCCTATTCACCCACTCACTTCGATTGTTGAACTTCATCTTTCCGTTTGTTCGTTTTTCTCTCAAAGTCTTTATTATCGCCACTAAATATAGCATATAGGGTTAATATTATTATCTCCCTCTTTTTTCACACCAAACGACTAACGAAGAAAAGAATTAACTTAATTCATAGCAGCGCCATAGTAGCGTCTCAATCCATCCTGTACTACAAACAGAATACGACCGATCCCAGGACGACTCCCCTTGAAGTCAACCGAAGCTGCGGCAGTCCAGTGGCAATACAAATTGTGCGGAAGCTTATCAAAGGTTGGGGACCTCTATCTTACATCCAAAAAGTGAGCTCAAGGATTTCAATTTGATTTCCGTTAGTTCGTAACTGGATACATGAAATAATGAGTCTACACAATACAACTGTTATTTTTTTATTTTTATTAAAAGTCCTCTGAGAAAGCCTTCAGCAGAAAAATCACAGAGGAGACCATTGATCAGAAGGTTTCAACTTGTCTTTATGACAGTTGTAACTGTCATCCATTTACGCAAACAAGTTACGAATAAATGGAAGCCGCGTTTGAGAAAAGAATGTAATCTGTGTTTTAAAGTATTTTCACTTTACTAAGTCTACTAAAACGACATAAACTCCCAACCTGTCAAGAATACCGACCAGCTGATGCGGTAATGACTTACTGTACCGCACAGTTCAAAAGGATATCACTAAGTGTGATCCAATGTCCTCCAATTTTCATGATAGAAATCTATTATCCTTTCCACAAGCCATAGAAAACACTTAGACATATTAACACACGTTTTTTGATGGTAGGTGATGAATTTGTGGTCTTGACAGAGCTTCCCTGTGTGCAGACTCAGCCACGTATCGGTAATCCTTCTGTGCTGCAGTTGTAAATTCCAACAAATTTTGTTATTCTTATAACCCTAATATACTCATGAGCACATGCGAGCAGTGTTTTAGAGACAGGCATTTTGGTTTATCAAGTAACCCTGAAGTCTGATCCGCTTGTATGGCTTAGACGTAATGCTATCTGGAAAACATTTGGCACCCTATATAATGCCTAACTATACTCTTATAAAACTAATTCGTGTACGCAAGCTATACGTTCACATAAAATGATTTAATTTATGATTGTTGAATATTTGCCATTGTATTATTGAATATGAATTAGTGGGCTACATTTTGCCTAGTTACATAAAACTCTCATTTCTCTGGTGTTTATTACAACGAAGTTTTGGAAATTATTGCAATCCGTTTACTTTCGAACCCTAAACCTGTTGATCAAATCTTGTTGACTAATAATAACTAACTGTTTGCCAATTTCTGAACTTTCAACACTAACTCATGGGCGTTGATAGGGATAGAGGATAGCGGCACAAATGGCTTTTGGAGAGGCTGAGCACCTGAAGGTCACTTATGCACGCTGTGATTGGTAGATTTTCCTTTGCATAAACGTTGCGGCTAAAACATGTCTTACGTTACTGAGGCGGGCTTTGAAATAGCAATAATAAAAGCGGATAGACATTACATTTTTTAGCTTAAGGGAACAAGTTAACATGCTTATAAATTTCACAGATGTAAGAAGCACTCGATTCACTTACAAGGAGAATACTACTGGGTAAGTTAATCAAAGATGTGTGAGGTTTTAAGATTTTATCTCTTTCAGTTAGTTGTAACGGATGGATAAGAGTCACTTGTATAATATTTGCCTTTTATAGAAGAGAAAGTGTGACAGGTGATTTGGAAGTAACACAATTCCTGAAATCTATCATGGAATATATGGACGACTAATCTATAGAATTTCACCAACCCTGGGGTTGTTCCTTGCTTTGTTCACATATTCAGTGTGGCTAAGATTAGGAACTGTTCACCAGAGGTAAGATTAATTTACCTGATATGTATACATCCTCAGATATTTCTCAATACGTTCGAAGGCATTCGGAGGAGTATAATGTCATTCTCTGCTTGAAAAGTTCACATCCAGTTTCTGCGAATGGATCTGGTGGTAACGAAAACTGCAAAGACTATTTCAACCTCACTAACAACGGAGGCAAACTGATACACATGTTGCGGATAGAGTGTTTGGTGGACTTTATGATGACTACGATGCAGCTATAAAAACTCTACAACTGTGATTTTCTCACTGGATTGTCATTAACTCTTTTTAGTGTAGATATGTACTCTTTCATTCTCAGTCGTTTTTTAACTTGATTGATTATTGTTTTCCTACAATTATATGCATATATATCGACTAACTTTTTCTCTCTTACCTATTATTTTGAGGACATTGCAGAGTTAACGAGAATGATAGGCAACGTATTAATACTTATGTGAAATGCGTCAGTCTTAAACTATTATTATTTCCTCAATGCGTCATCAAGCCTTGCGTAAAGTGTTTCAGTTGCGTATAATATCGGTATTCGTGATTGTTAGGAAAGTGCCCATCAAACATGTGTTCATACTCTAATAACGAAACGTAGCCCAGCAAACGTAGGCTGTATACGTACACGACTTGTATTGGTAGTCTAGGCACTTCAAGTACACTACGCAACGTATATCCTATTTATCAGAAATAGTCTGTTAATGTTATGTCGCGTTTAACACCCCTATCTCTAAGGAAATCATTGCGTAATAAGGAGAAAACTACATTACTCTTCTTGTGTTATCGTTTCGTATCAAAAGGCTCTTACATGATCACATCAACACTTAGACTCGTGCGTAAGTTGACTACGTCACTGAAATTCATTGATTATTTTGTTATCATAAAATACTGTGACTCATTAGATAGGCTTTTGTTGTACACATCGCCTGTTTAAGATTTGCTAGCGTAAGCAATTACTCAAAAGCGATAACAGTACACCCATCGTGACCAAATTCAACAACGTGTAAATATGATATTTTAGGAATATCACATCTAAATTGGCATCACTTTCGACTCGACAAACACTAAGTATTATTATTGCAAAATTTTTAAAACAATATTTATTTTGAAAAATACATTAGTAATGTCACAAATATTTCATCATTTACACAAATATTATAGTTTTTAATCCCAATTAGAACGTCTAAATGTATTGAGTGGTTGCGGAAGTGAATGCCATAATCTGGAAATTAAAAATAAAAATTCATTCAGGATATGATGAGTTAAATAAATAAACTTAAAATACAGTACCTACTAGTTAAATGACTGTCTCTTCACCGTTATCTGACGAAATAACCAATTCAGTTTCCTTTATTACTGTGAAATTTGGTAAAGATCATGAAATCATAATTGCCTCGATATTTAACCCCCTTCTCATCATTTACGTGAAATAAACTACCAAAATTAGAATTAATTAGCATTTTCTATCATAATTGACATTCCGCAACGAATTCTGTCATTTCTTATGCACCTCAGTATGTCGCTTCGATGGAATGACAGTATTTCGTCAACTAAAAACGACTATTTTCCTCACTTCTTACACGTTTTTTCGTTAAAATACAATTCTTAAAATGCATTTCTGTCGAAAAACCACAAAAAACAACGTAGAATAGCCCAAACACAACACCACAATAACACCTTAAAACTGCAGCAATCAGCTGATTTGTGCCTCTATCCTCTACCCGAAATCGCAGTATTACGCCAGCTAAATCTTCCTCAAAACCAAGGCCACTTGAAACCAATAGCAATATAGCAACCAGCGTCATTGAGGGGATATGCAATAAAGTCGCTCCTAACTCATACCTATATTATTATTATTGCTCCCTTGGGTTCCTAGTGGAACGTAAGCCCTCAAATGCACGTCTCCATCTGTTTCTGTCTTCTGCTGTACTTTTCACCTGCATCCATGTCAGTCCATACCGTTTCAACTCCTCTTCACACGATCTCCTCCATGTCACCCTTGCGTGACGTCCCACACGCCGCTTCTCTTTCGGGTTCCACTCGAGGGCTTGGCACGCGATGTCACCCAGCAGTCTCCTCAGCGAGTGACCGATGCATCTCCACTTTCTCCTGCATATTTGTTGGGCGATTGGTTCTTGCTTTGTTTGTTCCCATAGTCTCTTGTTGGTGATTCTTTCCGGCCCGGCCATCTCAACTTCAGTATAGAGTGAAAACGGTTGTTGATAAATGTAATGTCTGCAACAGGCTGTTGGAAATATTCTTTGTCACCCGCCCGCCCGCCAAGTTTCTGATCCGTACAGAAGAACTGACTGACTTGACGTTTGTATTGAAAATCCTACCAAATTTTGTTGTTGATGCTGAGTGACGAAGAATTCCAGATTGGTTTCAGGTTGATGTAATGTGTTTCTCGCCTTCCCGATTCTCGCTTGATTTGACATCTTCGTCCGTTCCTCCTGTAGTTGAGAAAATCCTCTCTATATAAGTCAGTGAAGTAACCTCTTTCAAATCCCTCCCGTTGATGGTGATTGACGCTGGATGTTGCTGCGTTGTTGTTGGTTGGCTGGTTATTTTCATCATCTGCGTCTTGTCTATGTTCACATGGAGTCCTGTCTTCGCCAGCTGCTTCTTCGACCAGTTTTTCGGTTTTCGCTTGTAAGTCTTCGATTTTGTGTGACATCAAACATAAATCATCCACGCGCGAAATCCAGGTCTTCTAGGTTCTTCACGTCGGTCCAGGATGTCCCTGTCTTCTCGTTTCCCACTGTCTGACGCATAATCCAGTCAGTCCACCACAATTAGGAATATCATTGGTGATAATAAGCAAGCACCCTTGTCTGACTCCTGTGTTTACTCCAAAAGCCTCGCTGAGTTTTCCGTTGTGGATCACTTGACATGTTCCGTTGTCGTACAGCTGTTGAATAAGGTTGATGAATATTTGGGGCTGTACGCCGTAGTACTCGAGTAGTTTCCAAATTACTTCGCTGTCAACGCTGTCGAAGGCCTTCTCAAAGTCTATAAAGTTGAGGTAGAGGTTTGATTGCCATTCCATGCTTTGTTCTGTGATGATGATGCGTAGAGTTGCAATTTGGTCAGTACATGATTTGCCTTTCCTGAATCCAGCTTGTTCTGGTCGGAGTTCTGTATCCAGTGCGTCCTTTAATCTCTCCAGGATGATGCGACTCAGGATTTTACTTGGCGTCGACAGTAGCATGATTCCTCGCCAGTTCTTGCAGAGTGAAGCCTAAGTCTCCCTTCTTTGGTAGTTTCACGAGGTAACCTTTAATCCAGTCAGTAGGCACCTTTCCCTCCTTCCAGACCTTTTGCAATAATGGAGTCAGCATGTCTGCTGTAGTCTCTGGGTCCGCTTTCAGTGCTTCAGGGGGTATTCCATCTGGTCCAGCTGCTTTTCCAGCTTTCAGAAGCTTGATTACGTTCAAGACTTCAGCTCTCGTTGGAGGATTGGTGTCAACTTGCAGTTGTGTGCGCGCTGTTGTTGGTATTTCTGGACGGGTTGCAGGTGATGGTCGGTTCAAGAGTCCTTTGAAGTGATCCGCCCATTGTTTAATCTGTTTTTCTTCCTTGGTAATTGGGTTCCCTTGGCTGTCTTTTATAGGTTTCGCTTGTGTTGATCTCTTCCCGGATAGAGATTTGGTTATCTGATATAGTGTCCTCAGGTCCCTTTTGCCTGCTGCCTTTCAGCTTCAGTGGCGAGGTTGTCGTAGAATCGTCTTTTGTCCTTCCTAGCACTCTTCTTCACTTCTTTGTCCAGTGCTTTGTAAGTTGAGCTCATCGTCTCCTTCTCCTGTCCGTCCTTGCAT